TAAAGTTGAATCTGTATGTAAGACAGAACTGGCATCCAGATTCAGCCACTGTTGAAACTGATCAGTTTCAGCAGCGGCTGAATTTGGACGCCAGTTCCGACTTACATACAGATTCAACTTAAGAACAAACCTACAGTCCCTATCTTGTACGTAACCCGGGGACTGCCTGTACCTCAACACTTTTAAAACATAAAGAGACAATATATTACCCTAATATTCCTTATCACAAGCTACAGCAGTAACCTATTTATGTTGGGAATAGCGATGTGAATGGTTAACCGGTTAGCCTGACCCTTAACGGGTGAGGCGCTATGGTTAACCAGTGGTGGCTGAAGCCCATTGCAGGCACGGGGCACTCCAGCCCATCCGAAGCAACCCGCATATGTGGCAGGCCCAGCCCAGTGCACCGTGGGCAGGGGTATGCTGCACCCTACACCCACCCCTCATTTAACGAGTTAACCATTTAAACAAAGTTTAACCAGTTCACTAGTTAAATGGGATTTACATTTCTAATTGGGAAGCAGTAGCTTGAATGTTTAGGTCAGTAGTCTCCAACCTTTTCAACCATAAGATCACTTTTTCAATTTAAGTGCAATGTAAGATCTACCTCAAACCCAAATACCCTTGCCCCACTTCCTTCATGCCCCTTCTATGAGGCCCCACCCCTGCTCCACCCCCTCTCAGAGGCCTCTCCTTGCTCACTTCATCCCCCTTCCTCTCCGAACCTCACTCATTTTCACCAGGCTGGTAGGGAGTTGGGATGCAGGCTTTGGTCTTGGGCCAAAGGGTTCTGAATGTGGGAGGGGCTCTGGGCTTAGCCCAGGGTGGTGGATTGGGGTCTAGGAGAGGGTTCAGGGTGCAAGCTCTATGAAGGAATTTGAGTGCAGGGGAACTCATGTCTGGGACAGGAGGTAAGATGCAGGAGGGGGTTCAGGAAGCAGGCTCTGGATGGGCACGACTTAACTGAGCCAGCTTCCGGGGGGTGAAGTAGTGGGGTTAAGGCAGGCTTACTCCTGCCCTGGCCCTGTACCACTCCTGAAAGCAGCTGGCATGTACAGCAATGGCTCATTGGCACCATGTGCTGCCCCTCATCTACAGGCACTAATGCCACAGCTTCTATTAGCCACAGCTCTCCACTATTGATCAACGGGAGTTGCAGGCAAGGACAGCATGTGGAGACCCCTGCTTTCCCTTTCATGGGGGCTGCAGGAACATGCCAGCCACTTCTAGGAGCAGCAGTTCCCATAGGGACGATTCCAGCCATGACAGGTTAGGCATTTTAGAACTCACTACTCAAAGAATTAAATTTAAGCATAAGAGAGAAATGAGTGGAGGGAGGGACACACTGACATCAGTGCCCCTGTTTTCTCCCTCCTACACCCTGCACAGCAAGCAGGAGGCTCCCAGGGGAGCAGTTCCAAGGCAGCGGCAGGAGCAGCACGACAGTGGGTGGAGAGCCAACTGAAGTGCCAGTGCTTGATAGCTTCCTGGCCAAACCAGTCAGGATTACCCGTCAGAGGCTCCATGATCTACCAGTAGATCCCAATCTACTGGTTGGTGACCACTGGTTTGGTTTATTACCCTATTTGTTATCTACCAGTGCACTTCAAAGATAGTACTATGTTTACCTAAGGATGAAATGTCGGAACAAAACAGAACACCGCAGCACAACAAGCCTGGTTACCAGTGCAACTTCTCTGGAAAAGTGGCCCAATGTCAAAATCTTTATGAAAAATCAATAAAATTGAAAAGAATCTAGCTATTTGAGAAAAATAAGGGCTCTAAAGCCTTATTTATAAATAAGATGTTTACAAGAAACTGGTTTTCTCCCATATATACACTAAAACTGGCTTAGTTTATTAATCTTTGAAATCATTATGAAAAAAATTATTTTCACCACCATCAGAAGTAGTTGCCACTAGTTCCCATCAATAAGATGTCATAACTCTGCACTGAACAACAAAGGTTCCACTTTCCTTCAAGGATATCTTATACTAGAAATTAGTTAAGAAATTCAAAGTAGTTATCTGTAACTAGCTGAGAACAAAATTGTAGCTGGCAGGGAAAAGTGGGAGGTTTTTTTTTTTAAAATGCCTCTGTCAAGCTCTTTTGCAAGGTGACTGTTCTGCCTAAAATACAATCATTGGCTTTGTACTTTGATGATTAGCTGACAGTTCAAAGCAATTTGTCAGATAAACTAATTCATTTATCAGAGTTAGTAATTTTTAGAGACTCTGATCTAATGAAGTTTGTTACATTTTTATCAGAAGGTAATGTTACTGCATATTTCATTTTACAATACGTTCACAAATAACTACCAAAATTAAACACAAAGAGACCGTTTCTATTTGCTTGACTCACATAATTATCTATATTATCTATTTTAGGGGGTTTTATTGTGCCCACTGCCATATACTAGTACTAACTTAAAGACTTGACCCATGCTCTGGATACTGCACTATAATACTACAGATATTATAATAAAGTTTCAAAGTCATCACTTTTGAGAACAAAGCCATAAAAATAAAATAGTAGTTGCAACAGCTAGCATCTATGCATTGCTAAAAAGTAATGTTATAGATATCTAATTTACATGTATAGACCTAATTACATTTTAACAGAAACAAAATTACTGAAGCAAAAAAACATTGGGCTCACTAACTTTATAAATTGCAACTCGATAGGACTTCTTTTTATTAAAAAAATCTCCTCTTTTAAGATTATCTTCAACTAAATATATAATAGGATGTTAACAAATGACTACATTTAACAACAGTTAAGGTTACATCAGGCTACGTGTAACCCACCAGAATACTTGAATGCAAGGAAATAAAAAGCTAGGGAAGTCTCCAGATTTCAGTGCCACAAGTCATTATATAAGGCATTCAGTCTTATTGCCAAATCAGAACAAAGAGCAATATATGCACACATTACAAAAGATGTTGATGGTGAATTCATACTCTCTTTTTAATCAATGGCTTAGTATACCTGAGGGTCACAATCCATTAATTTGGAAAAGTATCAATGATGAATTCTTCATAAAAGTTTTGCATTCTCACTATTAATTTCCTGAAGTCTCAGTTGGGTAGTTGTGTTAGCCTGTAATTTTAAGAACAATGAGTAGTCCTGTGGCACCTTAGAGACCAACAGAAATATATATAGTATCATGAGCTTTTGAGGGTAAAACCATTTGATGAAATGAGTTTTGCCCACAAAAGCTCATGATACTATACATATTGTTGTTAGACTATTATTGATTTAAAAATGGTGCGACATAACTAGGAAATTAATAACAATGAGTAGTCCTGTGGCACCTTAAAGACTAAGACAAATATTATGGCTGTAATATGGCTGTAAACAAGTGCTAGCTGCTGTAAAACTGTATTTGTCCCAACCATTAGAACTTCAAACTATAATATTTATTCAAAATAAAAACAGTTTTCACATCCATCATAAACCCTTTCTAATCCTATGATTTGAGAAGATAGTAGGCATATTAATAGGTGGTGGTGGCTGTTTTAAAAATATGTATATACTCACACATATAAAGCCAGGTTTACAAATAGTCTGAAGCTTTCTTACACACATTATATTGTCCTAAACTTATAAACAGATTTCCACCTTTTTCCTCCACAATTATGTCTAGGATAATAGAATCTAAAATAGTGTACACAATCATCTACTTTGCAGTAGCATTTCATAACAGTAGTGAACTAGGAGGCTACTTACATTTGAAGGTTTAAGTTTATTAATGATAGTTGTTTTGCCACTATTGTCCAACCCAAGGCACAAAACATGAACTTCCTTTTTCTTCAGACCAAGCCACCCAGCTAGTTTATCAAACAATCCCATGATTCTGATTTAATGCAGAGAACACCTGCAGTTCAGAAGAATAGAAAAGGAAATTGCTATTTAAAATGGTTACAGGTACAGCACAGTAGGTATACATGTGGGCCAGAAGTCCTAAGGCTTTCAAGAGGACAATACAAATAAGACCCCCTCCCAAGCTGTGTCACAGCAGGTTTGGTTAATACAGAGAGTAAACAGAGCATAAGCTGATTATTGGGAAGAAGCCTAACACAAAAGTAGATTGGCTGCTTATAACCCTGGTCTACATAGCACAATGTCCTTGTAGTATTGCTAGCCAATGAATCATTAGTCAAACATTCTAGTGATGCAAATGCCAACAAGACTGTAGAACTTCATCATCATTAACTAAACTTTACCAACGAGAATTATATATTAAACTATCAGAAATCCAGCCAGTTATCACAAATTACCAGTGATGTTAAAATACGTTTGTGTAAACGTATAACCGCTGAATTATTAATGTTTACATGCAGGGGAACAGGCAGCTTTTAAGCCAGCTCCCTGCAAGCCCAGAAGCAGCAGCATGGGGAACAGGTAGCTCAACAGGAGCTGCTACATGTGGGGAGTGTACCAGAGGCAGCATTGAGGAGGTGGGGGGAGAGGCGGCAACAGCTCTAGGAGATAGCAGGGAGGCGGGATGGGAGGCAGTGAGAGGGGGCAGGTGACTTTGTGATAGCCGGCTTAAAGCTGGCTTTGCAAACTGGCTCCCAGGCTTATCGGTTAACTGAGTTCACAGGTACGCATTGACATCCCTACAATTTACATTATAAAAATCTTCACATTGTCATTTTGCAAAGTAACATTTCCTTTTCACACACCCACTTGAAGGTTATTGAAAACAGAATTATATATGCAGTACGGTTAACTGAAATTAGTTACTTATGTTGATATTAAAAACTATACATCAGAAAATAATTCACTATAACCAGAAACTGATTAAGACAGATTAGTCAGAGATGTAGCCATATAACCTAACACACAAATACTTGTCAGAGAGAAGCCAAATTGTTACTCAGGTCAAGAAACTGTCTCACTAAGGTTGCTCAGCAGCAGGTGGACTAAAAAGGGCTTATGTTGTGAATTATTTTACAGCATCTGCCTGGACATACTACATATTAGGGATGTGAATGACTAGTCAACAGGCTAGTCAACTAGTCGCTTCCCCTCCCCCACCTTGCTGCCTCTATCAAAAAGAGGCAACAAGTGTGGAGGAGGGCAGAGAGAGGCAGAGGTACTTCAAAGTGGCAGCACTGCATGGAGCTGGGGCCAGCTCTGGGCTCCACGTGGCACTGCCACTTTAAACCCCATGCTCAGCCCGGGCCAGCTGGGGTGGCCCCAGACTGTTCATGGCATCTCAAAGCAGCAACACCGCACGAAGCCCGGGATCAGCTGGGGACTCCCCCACTGACCCTGGGCTCTGTACAGCGCTGCCACTTTGAAACACTGTGGGGAGCCCAGTGTCAGGTTGCATGCAGCGTTTCAAAGCAGCAGTGCTTTCAGGGGTGGAGTCCCTAGCTGATCCCAAGCTTCATGAGCCCTTTTCTCCTTTGAAGTGTAGCAACAGCCACACTTCAAAGGTAGAGGCACCCTATCAACTAATCAAATAGTTGATGCAAAATGCATTGACTATTCAATTAGTCTATTATTTGAAATTTAAGAACCGGCAGTCTATGAAAGCTACAATCAGAAATAATTTCAACAGATGATAATTGACAGTGAACGTCTGTGGCACATGCTAATAAAACATGTATAATCACAAAAGAATTTTCAGAGAAAAAATCCCCTCTATATAGAGAGCAAAACTATATACAACTCAGTTCCAGACTTGGTTGGTGTATTTAGATTACCAAAAAACATCCTGGAGGTTGGGAGGAGGTAAGGAAAGCTGATAAAGAATATTCAGTCTCAGTAGCTCCACAACCCCTTACAATATGATAACCGATATCAGACATTTAAAAAGAAAATTACGGTGAAGAACACATGGCAAAAGTAGAGGTAGTAGAAAGACTACATAGAACAGGTTTATAATTTCTATGGCTGAAACACTCTGCATTGGGAATTCTACTGATCTACTGTGTAGCTATATGTTCAGCAACATTAATCTTGAGTAAGTTTTCATTGAAGTAGTTTAACTTATTTGCTACCAATAGTATTTCTTGTACAAATATGTGTTTTCCAATGAACTATAAGAACTAGTTAATTTTCATTTTTCTTCTGGATTCCATTTGGTACAATAAAAGCTTTTTACATTCCTGGTTACAGATGTAAAGCTTATACATTGTCAAATGAACCTGACAAGAATCTTCTTCTCCAAAACATGTCATTCTGTCACTTGCACAAGAGATTTATTTATATTAACAAAGAGCAGCCAAAGAGGAAAGATGCTTTCTGTTGTCTATTCTATAGTACAGTATGACAAACCTGTAAGCCCTTCTCCCCCTTTAGCTGTCTTGGTCACTTGTGATAGTTTGATGATTAAAAAAAAGTCACTCCAAAGTTGACAGAAGGAGCAAAGAATCCTATAAAAGGTACACACTTCTCTCAAGAGCTGATGTTTTCTAAAACTGACAAGATCACCTGAAATAGCGATTATAATATAACACAGAAGTTATACTGTAAATATATTTATTTTAAGATTATGAAAAGTGAAGTTTTCACATCAGCATTACCTCACCCACATTATGCATACCGGGCATATTTAATGCTGAAATCTTAATATGAATATTAATCAAAACACATATTTTACAAGAAAATACAGGAACAGAACATTGGCAGCACTGCAGGGGACCAGCTCCCCACACAGACCGGTTCTTGCCTCCTGCCCCGCGCTGCTGTCTCTAATACAGAGGCAACAGTGCGGGGCGGCAGCAGCATCTTCCCATGATGGACCAGACTCCCCAGGCCCATCGCAGACAGAGGCTGCAACAGCATCCCTCTTGCTCCTCCCTCCCCCCACCATACTGCTGCCTCTTCTACAAAGGCAGCAGTGCAGGAGGCACGCAGCTCTATGAAGCTGGTGCTTTGGGGGGGGGGATTTTAGGATTCCCCCCAAGCATCAGCTCCCACCTGGTCTTTATTAGAGGCAATAGCATGGGGGCAAAGGGACAGGCAGCTTTGTGGGATAAAGCCGGCTTCCGACAGGCACCAGCTCTCACCTCCCTCACCCTTGCTGTCACTAATACAGAGGCAGCAAAGAGGCAGTGTGTGTAGTAGCTAGAATTAATGGTTAAGTCCAGGCTCATCAATTAATTGCTTACTCAACTATATGCTAACATCCCTAATGCCTTGTGACACACACACTCCTTTTTCCTGCCTCATTCAGTGTACAGAGAATGAATGAGGATTGTGTAGTAAAGGAGACTAATGTCTATAAGACCCCGTCTCGTTTATTGCAGAAGTTGAAGGTGTATACTGAATAAGACAGAAGATTATCATTACAGGAAGTGAAACAATAGCATCTTGGTTAAGTCAGTTTAATGCTGTTCTGGAGAAGTATATTAGGACACCTGCCAGAGTTACTATATGATGCTGGGAAAATTCCTGAAACCATACTTCACATGGGCAATAATTGTGTGTTCATCATATTCAGGGTATTCAACTTGGAACCCAGTGGTCTTTGCTTAATAGCTGAGCAAACCCAGCTGTAACTGATGTCAGTGGATGAGATAAATAGATAGATATAGGATAGAACCTAATACACTGGGGGAAAAATGAGTGATGGGCACAGGGATGTTAACTAGTGATTAATTTACTAGTTGAGTAGTTGATGGAATTTACATTGACTAGTTGATAGGCACTTCCACCTTCAAAATATACAAGAGCCCCAGCAGGATTCAGGAAGCAGGCTTTAGCTGGGCACCATTTAAGTGAGATGGCCTCTGGGTGGTGGAGCAGTGTAGTTAAGGCAGGCTTACTCCTGCTCTGGTCCTGCACCACTCCTGAAAGCAGCTGGCATGTACAGCAATGTCTCCATGGTGCCATGTGCTGCCCCTCATCTACAGGCACTAAGCCCACAGCTTCTACTGGCCACAGTTCCCCATTACAGGCGGGTTACGTACAAGATAGGGACTGTAGGTTTGTTCTTAAGTTGAATCTGTATGTAAGTCGGAACTGGCTTCCAGATTCAGCCGCTGCTGAAACTGACCGCCAGTTCTGACTTACATACAGATTCAACTTAAGAACAAACCTACAGTCCCTATCTTGTACGTAACCCGCCTGTAATGGGGAACTGTGGCCAGTAGAAGCTGTGGGCTTAGTGCCTGTAGATGAGGGGCAGCACATGGCACCATGGAGACATTGCTGTACATGCCAGCTGCTTTCAGGAGTGGTGCAGGACCAGAGCAGGAGTAAGCCTGCCTTAACTACACTGCTCCACCACCCAGAGGCCATCTCACTTAAATGGTGCCCAGCTAAAGCCTGCTTCCTGAATCCTGCTGGGGCTCTTGTATATTTTGAAGGTGGAAGTGCCTATCAACTAGTCAATGTAAATTCCATCAACTACTCAACTAGTAAATTAATCACTAGTTAACATCCCTGTGCCCATCACTCATTTTTCCCCCAGTGTATTAGGTTCTATCCTATATCTATCTATTTATCTCATCCACTGACATCAGTTACAGCTGGGTTTGCTCAGCTATTAAGCAAAGACCACTGGGTTCCAAGTTGAATACCCTGAATATGATGAACACACAATTATTGCCCATGTGAAGTATGGTTTCAGGAATTTTCCCAGCATCATATAGTAACTCTGGCAGGTGTCCTAATATACTTCTCCAGAACAGCATTAAACTGACTTAACCAAGATGCTATTGTTTCACTTCCTGTAATGATAATCTTCTGTCTAGACGGGGACTGAAGCAGCAGCAGCGGCGGTTCCCCGCGCTTCTGAGGCTTTGCTCTGTCAAAGCCTCAGAAGCGCAGGAACCCGCCCGGTGCCCCTGGTCTGCTGGAGACGGTCTCCAGCAGACCAGGGGCACCAGAGCAGCTTACGAACGGGGCTCTCTCGCCCCGGAGCTCACAGGTAGCAATCCGCTACCTCGACCTCCGGGGCGAGAAAGCCCCATTCGTAAGTGCGGATCCGACATAAGTCGGATCCACGTAAGTTGGGGACTGCCTGTACTGATCAATGGGAGCCAAAGAAGTGGTGTCTGCAGGCAAGGACACCATGTGGAGACCCCCCAGCCCTGCCTTTCTCAGGGGCTGCAGGGACATGCCAGTCACTTCCAGGAGCAGCAATTACCATAGGGATAATTACTCCAGCCACACCAGGTTAGGCATTTTAGAGCTCCCTACTCAGAATATTAAATTTAAGCATAAGAGAAATGAAGTTATGAAATGCATAGACCAGTCAAAAATCAAAAATAACACACTTTGCAGGCAGTAAAAGTAAAAACAACCCCCTTGTGTGTGTTCGGTTGTGAGATGAGAGTGAAGGACAGTGTGTGTTTGTGAGAATGACAGACACACACTCAGCATGTGCCAGTGGCAGAGATTTACACTGCCAAGCTCCCTCCATCCCCTTCTCTCTGGGGAGATAGGATACAAGAGCGGGGGGAGGAAGGACACCCTGACATCAGCACCCCCTTCTTCTCCTTCCCATACTCTGCACAGCAAGCAGGAAGCTGGGAGAGGGGGCAGCTCCAAGGCAGAGGGCAGGAGCAGCATGCCAGTGGCTGGAAGAGCAAATGAAGTGCCAGCGCTTGATAGCTTTCTGACCAAACCAGTCAGGATCATCTGTCTCCAAGATCTACTAGAGGGCAACCACTGGACTAGATGATTTCCCACTGTGGGTGCCTGGGGAGGGGCGATGCAGGGAGGGCCGGTCAGAAGGGTCACCCAGGCGCCACAGAGGGCAGGAGCAGCATGCCAGTGGCTGGAAGAGCAAATGAAGTGCCAGCGCTTGATAGCTTTCTGACCAAACCAGTCAGGATCATCTGTCTCCAAGATCTACTAGAGGGCAACCACTGGACTAGATGATTTCCCACTGTGGGTGCCTGGGGAGGGGCGATGCAGGGAGGGCCGGTCAGAAGGGTCACCCAGGCGCCAATTAGCATGTTGGCAGGGGCGCCCTGCGCCTCCTAAGTCACCCGCGTGCCCCACCCACCCCGCTTTGCAGTTTACGGGTCTATAAACTAACCCCA